ACCTGGCCCACACTGTGTGCACCCTGCCCAGCAGGCCCCTCCCTCTCACAGCCCATACCTGGCCCACACTGTGTGCACCCTGCCCAGCAGGCCCCAGGACCTACTCCTCAGACAGCAGGTCCTGCAGCAGCTTGTTACGGTCTCGGAAACAGCCAAGCGAGTGCATACTGTCTAGCACGTCGGGGTCCAGGTCCTCCAAGCTGGGCAGCGAGCGGATCTGCACCTTTCGAGGGACAGGCTGTTCGGGCTCTGGCTCATTTTTGCCCCCTCTGCAGATGACAGGGTGTTGCCATGGTTACTGCCCTGGCACCCAGTCTTCTCCACCCCCACCCTGAAATGGCTGAGGAGGGTAGGAGGCCTCGCCCTCATCTAGGACCCTGGACCTTGTTACTCTCCCTGTGCCCATGCCCTGGGTGCCTCCTGCATCCTGCCCGCACCCTGGCAGGCCAGCACTGCTGGCAGCCCAGGCCAGGGAGGCCTGCCCTTGGCCAGTGCCCTCCCCCCTTCCTAGTGGGTCCTCTGGCCATAGCAACAGGCAAAGCAGGTGATTAGTGGGTGAAAGCTACTTACATATACCATATGTGTTTCTGAATGTGCTCTAGCTACAAGGAAAGAGAAACAGGGAGTTAGTATGGAGGAAGGAGGAGAGAAGCCCACATTAGGAGGTAAAGGGAGGGAGGGCCAGGAAGAAGGAGAGGTGGGCAAGGGAGGAACAGAGGAGGATGAGGAGGGGGGAAAAGGAGAGGAAGGGTGGGAGAGAATAAGAGGGGAATGAGGAAGGTGAGAAAAAGAGAAGAAAGTAGGGAAAGAATGAGGGCTGGTAAGAGAAGGAGGTGGGAGGGGGTAAGGCAGGGAGATGGAGGCCCATGGAGAGAGTGAGGGGAGAACATGGGGAGGGAGGAGAGCAAGGAGAAAGAAGTGAAGAAGGAAGGGGAATATGAGCGGGAGGAGAGGGAAAGAGGTGGGGAGGAAGGAGAGAGGAGGTGGGGAGGGGGAGAGGGAAGGAAGTGGGGAGGGAGAAGAGAGGAAAGGAAGTAAAGAGGAAAGGAGGTGGAGAGAGAAGAGGTGGGGATGAAGGAGAGAGGAGGGGGAAATGGAAGGAGGTGGGGAGGGGAGAGGAGAGCAAGGAGATGGAGATAGAGGAGAGAGGAGATGAGGATGGAGGAGAGAAGGAAGGAGGTGGGTAGGGAGCAGAGAAGGAGGTGGGGAGGGAGAAAGGGGAGGAGGTGGGGAGAGCAGTAAATGAGAGGAGTGAGAAGGTGGAGAGGGACGGGGAGGGGAGGGGAGGATGAGGATAGAGTGAAGGAGGTGGAGAGTGGGCAGGTAGGGATGGAGTTCAGGAGGAAGAAAGGAGTGGAGAAGGAAAGAGGTGGGGGATGAAGGGGGTGAGAAGGCAGTGAAGGGGGGATGGGAGAGAGGGAGTGCAGAAGGAAGGGGTGCAGAGGGTTATGGAGGAAGGGTGAGGGGTAAGGGGATGCAGGAGGAGGATAAATGGGGAAAGGTGAGAACTAGGATGGCGAGGTAGGTTCCAGGCCTGCATCTGTCCTGCCCACAGAGAGCCAAAGCAAGCTGGAGAAGGGAGGGGCCTGGGGAGGGGTGCAGGCAGGCAGGAGGGAAGGAGAGGGTGAGGGCAGGAGGCAGAACCCCTCTCCTGGCATGGCTGTGCTGTCAGGGCCTGGCCTCACCCTTGATGGCCCTGGGGAGAGGCCCAGAGGGAGGATGGCGGGGAACCAGGAGGGCCTGGTCTACCTGCGTGCAGGGAGGGGCCGGGGTGCAGGTGCGAGCAGGAGGCTTAGAGGGCAGCCCCAGCCACACACACACAACCTCTCCCCAAGCAGGAGCCAGCTTAGCTGGGGAGGACAAAGAGGTCAGCCCCTGGACAAGTGCTCACATGCCGAATGGCTGGCCCACAGTGAGTGTTTAAGCTCTGAACCCCATCTACTCAGGCCCTAACATGGTTACCCCTGCTGACATGGGCATCAGGGACCTCTGAGGGCTTGCATCAGAGGGCTACATAGGCAGCCCTGCCTCACCCAGGCCATCAAAGGTAGACGCTTGACCCCTGGCACACACTAGAGCTCTGGGCACCTCTGCCACCCACCTGCGCCCAGCTTCCTCTATCCCGTTGACAGGCGTGGGCCTATCACCTACTGGGGAACACAGCTCTGTGCACACTTCCACCCGTACACATGCACCTGCTCCACACTTGTGAGCCTGTTCCACATTCACAGGCTTGGGCTTGCCTTGTGCTCAACGGAACACACAGACATATGCAAAGTGCACACACACCTGTACACACTCATATATCATGCTCCCCGCGTTCCACTCACAGATGTAACTCTGCCTTGTGCTCACCTGTGTGAACACGTACTTATACACCTGCCTATATCATGATCCACTCAGGTCCTGCAGGCACAGCTTGCTGTCCTGGGCACTAACACACTTAGCAAAGCTGTGCACACACACGCACGCACCTGTGCACACACACCTGCTCAAACTGATGCATCCATAAGTGCACACACTGATCAGATCCTGTTTCATGTGCACAGACCTGGCATGTGTCCCATCTGTGTGTGCACACGTCTACGAGCACGTGCATTCATTCATACCTGTGCAAACACCTTTGCAAACAGGTGCATGCACAGATGTACACATTTGTTCCCTTCTTGCTCTGGTCTCACAGGCCTACACTGTGCCCACTTGTGCACTCACTCATGTCTGTGCACACACACCACGTGCACAGGCCTGCCCTGCACTCTGCTGTGCACATGCCTAGACCCCCAGGACTCTTGCCCTGCACCCACACGCAGGCAGAAGAGTCCTTCCTTGAGGAAGGTGCCTGGGAGCAGGTGCTGCAGACAGCTGGTCTTGCCCGGGGTGGTGGCCTTTGTGAGGCTCAGAGCTGCCCTGAAGGGAAGGGCGCAACTTGGAGGTAGTGGGCGGGAGTGAGGAAGGAGGCCCAGCCCACTGTGGAGAGCCCCCACACACCGTGAGGCGCCGGGCCGCGTCCACCTCGATCATGCCACGGAGCAGGCTCTGGCAGTCGGGCGGGATGAAGTGGGGCATGTGGAAGACGCCACGCTTGACCTTCTCCAGCAGCTGCCGCAGGTTGTCGTCGTCAAAGGGCAAGGCCCCCTGCAGGCGACAAGGGGCCGTCAGCGCACAGCACCATGGACAGCTCCGCGCTGGCTGCCGCAGTGGGCAGAGTGTAGGCAGAAAGGGGCAGAGAAGGCGGGAAGAGGAAAATGGGGACAGAGAAGGCGGGTGGGGCCTCACCACGAGCAGGGCGAACAGGATCACACCGCAGCTCCACACGTCTGCCTTCCGACCGTCATACTTCTCACCCTACAGAGGGCAGTGAATGGGGCTGTTGGGTGGGATATGGGGCCAGACCCGGGGCGGGAGTCCAGGGGTGCATGCCTCAGCAAGGGGAGGCCCTTTAAGCCAAGCAGGGGTGAGCTCCTGGCTACTCACCCGAATCACTTCGGGGCAGGCATAGTGCGGAGATCTGAAAGCAAAAGCAGAACTCAGGAGGGAGGTAGGCTGGTGGTCCGTCGACCCTGCCTGGGCCTCCAAACCTGTGTGGACTGCCAGCTAGGGACGGAGAAGGGAGCGCCCCTTGCTCTGCCCAGCCTCCTGGAGCTCTGTGCTGCCCCTATGGGTCCCTGCCAGCCTCCCTCTGTCCATACAAGTCCTCTTCCCCCATGGATGGACTGTGCGGGCACAGGCCTTGACAAGTCCCGCCACTGCGGATACCCTCCTGATTCTGGGCCAAACTCACTACGAGCACTTGGGGACGGCAGTGCGAGGACTCAAAGCCGCCTGACATCTAATCAGACCTCATCAGGTTGTGCTCGCTCCAATTCTGGGGACCGAGTGGGGACGAAACCTGGGCGTGCTTGTGGTGGGGTCTGCAGATTGGGCTTGGTGGGGGAGGCGGGCTGATGGTTGTGGTACTGCACAGAGGGGCACTGCATGCTTGGAGGGAAGTGGCCTGCACATAACTGGACAGGCATATGTGGAGGGCAGTGGCCAGCACAGGGTGAGGCACGCATGGAGGGGAGTGGCCGACACAGGGCGGGGCATGTGTGGAAGGGAGTGGCCAGCACAGGGCGGGGCACATGTGGAGGGAAGTGACCAGCACAGGGCGGGGCACGTGTGGAGGAGCAGGTCTGTGGGGTGGGACGTGTAGGGGAGGGAAAGGCGCATAGGCACAGGCTGCACACCAGCCCCAGGAAGCCCTGTAATGACCTGGGTTAGTCAGTTCTGTAGAGCTGGGCAGAGACCACAGGCGCTCGGGGTGGCTGGGCACTTGACCTCCACAGTCTCCATTGCCTACTGAGTCGCCCTCCCTCCTTCTAGAGAACTCAGCCCTGTCCCCTGACAGTGGGGTCAGGCAGCTCTCAGGAGCTCTCAGCTTCAGGAGTCTGTGTCTGGGTGAGCAGCAAAGGCCTCAGGGCTTCCCTGGCTTGCCCAGCTTGGCGATGGACACCCGTCCCCCAGCCCTGCCCCGCATGTCCGAGGTAGGTCTCCCCGGTGCAGGACTCGTCGCAGCACCAGAAGCGGTCAGGAGGGGGCGCCCGGTGGCCGCTGACCACGCTACGGGCTTGGCAGGTCTGCAGTGGTCAGCGAGCTGGCCCAGGGCAGGGACGCTGGGGAGCGGGAGCGCACTCACCCGCAGCTGGTCTCCAGCAGGCTGTCGCCAACCTGCAGCGACGCCATGCCGAAGTCGGCGATGCGGATGTTGTTCTTCTCGTCCAGGAGAAGGTTTTCTGGTTTCAGGTCCCTGTGGCTGGAGGAAGCCGAGTGGGGGCCGCATGACGGGTAGGCACGCTGGCCGGGCCGGGCCTCTCCGCCGCCCCACGCTTCAGAGGTGGTACTTGCGCCTAGGACCCTGGGCTCAGCCTGACTCCAACACCAGCCCCTCCTCAGCATTACCACTGGGGCTGTCTCCTCTCCCCCAACCCTAATATATATAGCCAAGGGTCCAATGGCAGCTCAGCCTGGTGATGTCACAGCCAGCCAATCAGAAGTCGTCTTTTGGCGGGTGGGAAGGGGGCTGGCTGGTCTGTGGGTCTTTGGGGAGATATAATGGGTGTGAAGTTCTGCCTCCTGACCCAGTCAGTTTCCTGGCCTAGAATGGGGGGCTGCCTGCAGTCCTTCCCTCTCTCCCGCACCTGCTGTGGGTCAAGAGAGACACTTGGTGGCCTCTGTACAAGTGGGGGAGGGGCTGGGGCTCCTGCATTTTGGGGTGAGTCCTCGGAAAGAGGTCAGGAGAAGGGACATTTCTGCTCCAGGCAGGCTGGAGAAGAGGCTACAGAAGTGGGAGGGGCCAGGTAGGGGAGCCCCTTGGGGAACGTGCACCTGGTAGGGTTGGGGGTTCTGGAGAAGGAACGTGGTGCTTAAAGAAGATGGGGAGTCCCTGGAAGGGGGGTTCTAGGGCACCAGGAAGCTCAGGGGTATGGATGTACCTCGGAGTGTGGGGGCACCTATCAGGGGCACCTGAGGGGGGAGAGAAGAATCCAGGGGGTTTGAGGGAACTGCAATCTCAGGCAGCCCAGGGAGGGTAGCGTCTGGGGCCCTGAGACACATACCATATGGAGTGACTGTGACAGAAGTCTAGTGCTGAGATGATCTGACGGAAGAACTTGCGGGCTTCTTTAGGGGTTAGCCTCCCCTTTTTCACAAGGTAGTCGAACAGCTCCCCACCAGACACATGTTCTAGCACCAGGTATCTGTGAGAGAGTCGCCAGGTCGGGCCAGCACAGGTGTGCCCGCTCAACCCTCGAGGCTGCCCCTGCCAGCCAGCCAGCACAGTCCTTGCCAGAGGCTGCAGCCACCACCCTGTCCCCCAGCCCAGCACCTTACGTCATCACACCTCGGCATCCACCACACCGTCTCCCACCTCAGCACCTCGTGTCACCACACCCCAGGACCTCCCACTCTGTCCCCCACCCTAGCACCTCATGTCCCCACACCTCGGCACCCACCACCCTATCTCTCAGCACCCCATGTCTCCACGCTCCAGGAGCCACCGCTTGTCCCCCACACCAGCACCCACCACCCTTCAGCATAAGGAATCTAGTGTTCCCTCCATCTTCATCCTCAGAGCCTGCCAGCAGTCCCAACATGCAGCCCATAGCAGGCCTTTCAGGCCGGGCACCCTCTGTGCCTAAGCTTGGACCTGGAAGGGTGGGGTGGGGCAGCAGGCAGGGGTGCCCCAGCTTGGGAATGAGGAACAGTGAACCCCGAGAGGAACAGGACAGGTTCTGCCCGCAGGAGGAGGGTCACCAACTGCCTCCTACCTCCATCCTCTGAGCCCTTTCCTGTCCAGCCTTGGTCAAATCAGACACATTCTCAGCCCTCAGGGAACCCCAATCAGCAGGTAGAGGTCCAGATGAGTGTGAGGGACAGGGTTGGGAGGTGGAGGTCAGGAGTGGCCTGGGAACTGACCTTCAAGCCAGGGGCCAAAGGAGGGGGAGAGGAAGACTAGACGGGTGTGACCCGAATGGGAGCTCCTGAGAGGCCCTCATGGCACCGGGGCCCAGGGTAAGCATCTGTCCTGCATGGTGGCGGCAGGCTGCACAGCCTGGCACTGTCCTGCCCACCTCCTAGCATGTAAACAGGCTAGCACTCTCATCCCATGACAGCTAATCTATCCACCCAGCATGGCAGCATCCAATCGGTGTCAGACACCATCTCCGAAGTCGGGCAGCTCTGCCTTGTGTTTAAGGACCCCAGGACACTCAGACCCAGGACTCAGGGAGCCTCAGGACCCCAGAACCCAAGATCTGAGGTACCCCAGAACCTCAGGGACTGAGATACCCCAGGACCTCATGGACACGAGGGCCCAGGGACTGGGGGGACCCAGAAGTGAGATATCCCAGGACCTCATGGACACGAGGACCCAGGGACCGAGATACTCCAGGACCTCATGGACACTAGAGCCCAGGGACACTAGGGTGTTAGGGCTCAAGAACGCCACCATGGCTTCAGGCTCCCCACTGAGCAGCTTACTGTTGGGGTGAGGACGGAGACCTCTAAGGGCAGTACGCCATGTGCCTCTCCTCACCCTGTCCCCCTGCATCCTCCCAACATACAGAGGGGACAAAGGCCTTGCTGAGGCCATGGCTGTGCTTGTGCCCAAGCTGGGGAGCATCCTTGTTCACTACCCTCACTCTCCGGAACGTGAGCTGGGTCCCACTCTGCCTGGTGATCCCTAATTCTACCAGGAAAAGGAGTGAGTATAATGTCCCCCAGGCCTCTGTCAGCCCAGTCACCAAGGGACAGGCTGAGAGGCAGGGATGTGCCCAGGAAGAGTCGGCACAAGGCTCCAGAGGGGTTGAGGGACTTCACACCAGAGAGTTGGAAGCAGAAATGGGAGAAGGTGTGCAGACTTAATGGAAGTGAGGGAAGGAAGGGTCTGTAAATCCAGGAGAGGCTCTGGGCTAGGTAGGGGCTCTCTGAGGCCTCTGCTTGACTGCCTAGAAGTGTGTGTGTGGGGTGTTCCAACAGTGGAGAAAGGACTCAGGAGTATGTGTGGGGAGACCTTGCAGTGGGGAGAGGCGGCAGGCTCAGCAGTGAGGGGGTGGGGAGACCCCAACAGTGGGGGAGGATCCAGCAGAGGGGGAGGGGAGGCTCAGCAGTGAGGGGAGGCCCCAACAGTGGGGGAAAAGGCTTAGCAGTGTGGGGCGTGCCCACCAGTGGGGGTAAGGAGGAAGGCCTAGCAGTGGGGGCCTGGTCTGAGAGGAGGGGGAGAGCCCAGCAGTGCAGGGAGGGCCCAGCAATGGGGGAGGGTTTAGCAGTGGGGGGAGAGGTCCTCTGCCTGTCTGCTCCTCCACAAACTCTGTCCATTTGCTGGCCTCAAGCTGGGGTGCTGCGAGGCCCCAGCGAAGTAGGCCGGCGATCTGAGGATCAGGGACCCTTGTCTCCTCAGGGGCACACACCTCAGATCTCCCGCTCAGCTGAGCCCCTCTGCCCTCACCCTGGCCACGGAAGCCACTCAGCAGCTCTGGCCCCAGCAGTGGGTGCTCCGGGACCCAGGCCCTGGCATCCGCCTGTCCCTGCCCCTCACTGGAGCACCACACCTCTGGCCGCCCCAGCTCTCCAAGCCCAGCAATACCTACAAATATTTTTTATTTTCATAAACGTCGTGCAGCTTTAGGACGTGCGGGTGCTCTATGAGCTTCAGGATGGCTATTTCTCGCTCCACCTGCAGAGAGAGCACAGTGTCAGGGCCTCGGCAGGGCACCGGTGTGGGGCGTGGCCTCTGGGCAGGGGCGTGGCCTCTGAGGGAGGGGCGTGGTCATTGCTGCAGGGAAGAGGCTGCTGGGTGAGCAACCCAGGAAGGAGCTGCCAGGTCACAGCTGCAGGTTGTAGCAGGTGGGTGAAGGGGCTAACCAGTGTGGTCACCACACAAGCTTCCCTGGCTCTTGGCTTGATACACCACTTATAGTGTCTGTAACAGCCTGTGAGGGGACAGAGAGGGACATGGGCACTTCCACTTGGCAGAGACAGGATCGCGAGGGTTGTGGTGCCACCCACAGGGGACAGAGGTGAAGGGACCTAGGGAACTGCAGCCCTCCTCGACCACTGAGTGGAGAGAGCAGGGCAGGATCTCCAGAACCACAGGGCACCACGCAGAGAGGAGGCCCTGACGCCAGGAATGAGTGGCCTATCCTGGCCGTAGACACAGGGCCTGAACCGCCCTGACTCCCTATCGCGGGTGTTTGCCTTCAGCATTGCGCTGGGAACTCTGGGGGCCTCTTGCAGGAGCAGGACAGCCCCTTGGCGATGGGATGTGTTCTTCCTACCTGGAGCAGAGCACCCGGGAGACCAAACTGGACAGGGGCCAGGTCAGCAGAGGGAGGGCTGGGTCCTGGCCTGGCCAGCTGACCACAGAGATAGCTCTGAGCAGTGTGGTGTCCCGCCTCAGGCAGAGGACTGTGTGAGCGTCCGTCCGCGCGTGCACCTGAGTATCTGTGTGCACATGGCTGGGTATGCACACCTACGTGGGACCATCCACTCACGTCTGGATGCACATGTGTGATGAACCACACGTACCTGTCCATATGTGTACATGCTTGTGGCACCTATGTGTATATTCACTCATGCACACGTGCCCGGACGGCTATCCATGTGTGTATACCTGTGCATACCTATTCTTGTAGGATAACCCACGTGTGTCCATACACACAAGTGATTGTGTGTGTAGAACTGTGTGATCATCCACGTGTGCAGATGGGCACCTGTCCATGTGTGTTCGCGTACATGTGGGACCACCCGCATGCACACACAAGTGTGTGTAACTGTGTGCACTCGTGATCACCACAAGCACTCCCATGTATATGCACATGTATGCATGGCCATGCACATGTCAGCACATGCCCGTGTCTGTCTGTACACACGTGCATGTCCATAACTGTATATACATCCATGTGTCCATGTATGTGAAGGTAGCTGCGTGTGCACACCTCCCTGAGTGTGTACACACACATGACGTGTGTGCACATGTGTGAGGTTCTGCAGGTCCTTCAGTGTATGCCCCGATACCCACAGCTCCCACCTCATGCTGCTGCTGCCCGAGGAGGGCAGGGAGGAGGGGCAGAAGTGGCCATGTGCAACCTCGCTGCCCCTCCCCAGCCTCTGGGAGCACGCTGGATGAAAGGCACTCCAACCAAAAGCCTGTCTGACATTTTAACAGAGCCATGTGGGGGTTGGCAATCCTTCGAAACCCTACCTAACCCCCTAGCCTCCATGCCCAATGCTGGCTCAGTAGCCCTGCCAGTCTAGTTGGGCACATGGGGTGGATACTACTTGTTGTGGACATGGGGACAATGCAGGGCTTGGCTGGGGCCCTTTGTGCCTCCAGGACTTTCTATGGTGACCCCTGGCCCCATCCACCCTTGCCATCAAACTCCTGCCTCCACTTGGGTCCCTCACAGCATTTGAATTTTATTTGCCCCCTCTGAGTACAGAGCACCCTTCCATGCCCAAGCCAGCTGCACAGCTGGGCGTTGTCTCTGCCCTCCCTGTCCTTCACCCGCCTTCAGCTCCAAGACCAGGTCAGAGACCACCTGCCCCTCACACTCCTGGGGGTCCTACTCAGTGAAGGTTACACCACCTCCCTTCAAAGTGCCCACCTCCCCTGGACACTTTCCCCGTCAGCCCAGTCAAGTCCATCTCTGTCCCCAGGGTTCAGAGGCTATCTGCTATTCCTGCCCTAGATGGGCAATTGCCCTTGTCCTACAAGCCTCTCCAGTCAGTAGGCTTCTCGGCTCCTCCTAGGAGAGAAACCGCTGGTGGTGCACTCTGCCGCTGGCCACAGATCAGGCTGGACGGAGATGCTGAGGGCTCAGCTAGTCAGGCCAGGGCTTGGCTTTCCTGCTTTGGAAAATCCACGAGGAGATCCTGGCTGCACCCAAAACCCCAGGCCGGGCTCAGACCAGAAACCCCGGAGGTTCCGGGGTCCCTTCCTCCTGAGTCTGTGAAGACCCCAGAGACACCCCCACCACATGCAGACGGCCACATGAGCTGAGGGCTGTTCGGGCAGACTGAGGAGAGGGAAGCAGGGGCAAAGATAATCGAAAGAGAAGGGGGGGGGGCTGAGCTGGGTTCTGAGCAGGGTCTCTGCCAGAGTCCACTTGGGGAAACTGAGGTCCAGGAGATCTGAGTAGCAGCACCCACCAGCATCACAGATAGGAACAGCACCGCGAGGAGCATTTCTCCCTAAGTCCTGCCCCTGCACCCTGGTCCTTGCCTATCAGTGTTGCCCCCAGAGTCCAGGCGGTCCCTCGTCAGCACCAAAGCCAGCTGGTCTAGTCGGGTCCCCTCAGCTTCACCCCTGAGCCCCATTACCTCCCATGAGAACTGCCTAAGCCCCTCCCTAACTCCAAGTCCTTCCCTAATCTTCAGACAAGCCCCTAGCCAGCACCACCCTGGGACCCACCCCTAAGCCTCATGCCTGGCCCCTAATCAGCCTCTATCAAACCCCTGAGAACCAAGCCACCCCCCTGAACCCCACCTTCAACCTTTGGGCTACATCAGGCCCCGCCCCTGACCATCAGACCACGCCCCCGAATCACGCCCTTAACCCTGGCTTACTTCAGGCCCTGCCCCTAACCAGCACTCCATCACGCTCCGCCCCTGGGCATCAGGCCACGCCCCTCAGCCCCATCTGTCCCAGCCCCTACGCAACACTTGCCCAGGCCCTAACCCTGAGCCCCTGGTCCTCTCACCCTCAGGCAGCCCCGACCCCCTCAGGGAGCCCCCATCCCCCTCAGGGAGCCCCCACCCCCTCAGGGAGCCCCCATCCCCCTCAGGGAGCCCCCAGCATCCTGGCTTGGGGCAGTGAGGACTCCTAGAGTCCCTGCCCCTGAGCCCCGCCCCTAACCAGCACAACCCCAGATTCCACCCACCCCTGAGCTGCCAGGCCACCTCCTGATCCCTGTCCATGGGCCCCAGGCCACTGAGTCCCTGCCCCCACCCCTGAGTACCACGCCCCTCACCCAAGCCCCCCCCAGCCCTGGCCAGGCCTAAATCTCACCTTCATCAGCACAGATTCGCTGAGCTTCTCCCGGTTGACGATTTTGATGGCGACCTTTTGGCATGTGACACAGTGAATCCCCAGCTTCACCAGGCCTGTGGAGGGGAGAAGGCTGAGCTCAGATCCCAGCGTGCACCAGGTGTCACTCCCTGGCAGCCCCCCCAGCCTCCTGCCTTGGCGCAGCTGCAACTACCTTCCTCCAGGCCCTGGACCCCACACCTTCTCCAGGGGAGAATGTCTTGGGGAATGGTCCAGTCCAGCACCCCACCTCCCTGAGTGCTACATCCAGCCAGCACCCTCCTCTTCGCTGTGATGTTCGCTCCACTGCAGTCTGACCGTGTCCCCAACCCCAGCCACTGCCCACTTCATCCATCACTGCCAGGTACAGTTAGTAGCTGCATCCCTCTGCCCCCACCTCCTCTGACCCCTAGACTCTCCGCAGGACCTTTGGAAGGCCCCTGTCCTCCCAGCGTCACTCCAGGTCCACATGGCCCCTGACACCAACAGTTTTTCTGTCACTGGAGCTCCTGCCCCAGACCTAGGAAGTCAGGGTGCCCTTGAATCAGGACAAGCCCCTGCCTGCCTCTTCGCCCATCCTCTTACCACCTGTCCCCAGACTGGAACAGAAGCCCCTGTGCACACGAGTACATCTGACACACACAAATCCCCAGGACACCAGAGTGGCCCTTAAGCCACATCTGGGCAGTCCAACTGCCCCCACTTCCCAGGGTGCGATGGATTAAATTGTGTCCCCAAATAATAAATGCTGTACCTCCTAATCTCTGTGCCTGAGGTTATAATCCCATTTGGGAATAGGTTGTCCTTGTGCCGTTCACGAGGCAGGCTTAGTGTGGGGTGTGTTTTAAGTCAATCCCTTCAGAGGTGGGAGAGAGATTAAGCACGTCCACAGAGATGGGGAACAGGGGCGTCACTTCACAGAGTCACCAAGAAGCCCTTGGTCTGGAGCCGGCACGGAAAGGATGCCCTTAGAGAGGCAATCTGTACCTGGATTTCTAGCCTCTTAAAGTGAGAAAATAAATTCCGTTTGTTAAACCATCCATTTGTGGTATTCCTGTCACATGAGGTGAGCTGATTGTACCTCACAGCGGCCTCAGGTACAAGAGTTCCTGTCCAGTCCTCCACTCCCATCCTCATGGCCACTGAGACCACTGTCACAGCCATGGACTCCATTCACCTCATTACAGGTCCTTCTCATTCATTCACTGACCCTTTATCAAGTGGTATCTTTCTCCAAGGGCTGGCTCCTGGCAACGTACCCACAGTGTAAGAGACAAAGTCACCATCCCTTCCTCCAGAGGACATTCTGGCCGCACTTTTTCCAAGACAGAGCTGTCTGTTCCTCTGGCATAGTCACTCCAGAGCTCAAAGACATCAGCCCTTGTCACTCACTGCCCAGTGTTCACATGGTTACAGAGCAAACGAGAGTATCAGCTTGAGCAGACCCACCACAGTCCCCAAAGCGGCATCCTTGCTTTTCAGTACTTTAAAGAGTGTCTGTGTTTCATTGACTCTGCACAGGCATTTGACTGCGTGGATCACAACAAATTGTGGCTAACCTTGAGAAGAATGGGAATCCCAGAACACTTGATAGTGCTCATGTGAAACCTATACTTGGACCAGGAGGCAGTCATTAGAACCGAGCAAGGAAACACTGCATGATTCAAAATCAGGAAAGAAGTGCATCAGGGATGCATCCTGTCTCCATATCTTTACAATCTATATGCAGAACAGATAACTCGGGAGGCTGGGCTTTATGATGAGGAAAGTGGCAACAGGATTGGAGGAAGACTCATCAGCAACTTGCAATATGCAGACGATACAACCTTGCTCGCCAAAACTGAGGAGGACCTGAAGCACTTGTTGCAGATGGTCAAGGACTGCAGCCTTCAATATGGATTGAAGCTCAACATCAAGAAGATAAAGATTCTCACCACTGGGGCCAGTTGGTAGCACCATGATAGACAGAGAAGAGACTGTTGACAATTTCCGTTTGCTCGGCTCCACAATCACTCTTGGCACCAGCAGTCAGGAAATCAAAAGAAAAAAATGCATTGGGGAAATCGGCTGTCAGGGACCTCTCCAAAGCACTAATGAGCAATGATGTCAGTCTAGAGACTAAGGTGTGCTTGATTCAGGCCATGGTCTTCACAATTATTTGCTATTCATTAGAAAAGTGGATAATGGCTGGGGATGACAGAAGAAAAATCAATGCCTTTGAGTTCTGATGATGGGGAAGAGTATTGAACATACCATGGACCACCAGGAAAACAAAGAGGTCTGTACAGGAGAGAGTGAATCCAGGCTGTTCCTTGGAGGCAAGGATTTTGAAGCACCATCTCATGTGCTCAGGAGGGATGAGTCCTTGGAGAAGGACATCATACTTGAAAGGGTGGAGGGACAGTGCAGGACAACCCCAGGTGAGATGGACTGACATAGTGCCTGGGTTAGGGAGGTAGGTGTGTCAGAGACAGTAAGACCAGTTCAAGATATGTCAGGGTTCAGAGCTGTTGTAGTTAGGATCACTATGAGTTGTAGATGATTCAGTGGCACACAACAACAACAACAACAATGTCCTTTATAGAAGATTTGACCAATAAAAGACATAATTTGATTATTTTGTTTAGTTGTAATTGAAAACCTTATATTGTTTACTCAATGAATTCTAAAACTTTGATAGTTAGATATCATTTAAGTCATTTAGTCTTTGTTGATGCAGCCCTGAAACAAACTTTGCATACTTGTGTTTTCTCCATTTCAGAACAAGATTATGAAAAAGAGTACCTAAAGTACAAATGAAAATCCAACTGGGTTAGAGATGAAATTATGGAGAACTCAGTGGACACACAGCTCACAACATCGGTGGTTTTTAGCTCATGGTTTAGGTAGAAAAGCATTTTAGTTCATGCACACGAGACAAAATATGCTGCTACAGAAAAGTTGAATCCCCAGAACCCATTCTTTTTAGTATTGCTGTTGTTATGTGCTGTCGATTTGCCTGCCTGCGACCATAGCGACCCTATAATGTACAGCACCTCTGAACCCTGCCCGGTCCTGAGCAGTCTCACTAACTCTGACACACCAACCCAACCCCCACTGCCCCAGTCACCGTATCAATCCATCTCATCCGCGGTCTTCCTCTCCTGCGCTGTCCCTCCACCCTTCTGAGCATGATGTCCTTCTCCAAGGACCAGTCCCTCCTGGCCATGTGCCCAAAGTATTTGAGATGGAGCTTCAAAATCCTAGCCTCTGAGGAGAAACTTGGTTTTACTCTAAGACAGACCTATTTGATTTTCTGTGGCCCGTGGTATGTTCAAGACTCTTCTCCAGCACAACTCAAAGGCATTGATTCTCCTTCTGTCATCCTTAGTCATTGTCCAGCTCTCTGATGCATAGCAAGTAATTGTGAAGACCATGGCCTAGATCAGGAGTACCTTAGTCACTAGACTGATATCATTGCTTCTCAGTATTCTGGAGAGGTCCCTGACAGCAGATTTCCCCAATGCACTTTGTCTTCTGATTTTCTGACTGCTGGTGCCAAAAGTATTGCCTGTGGGGCCGAGCAGGTGGCTTCTTAATTTTTCTGTGTCCTGGTTTCGTGTGAACAGGTAAGCACTTGACAGGTGCTGACAACAGATGGGCCATGGAGAAAGGGTCATCAAACATGAAAAAGCAAATCTATCCATAACTATGTCAAGACAGTCCACCCAAACTCTTCAACCATACGGTGTTGACAAATCCAGCTATCGTAGAAGAAAGAATTACGCCCACAGCATCTGCTCAGCTCGCTCCAGGCCCTGGGGACCCATCTGAGTGGGGAGAGAACTCAGATGCTCCAACATGAGTGGCCGAGAAGACGTGTAGCAACGCCGAGCTGTGGACGACAGGGCAAGGGCAGGTCAGGGGTCTGGGCCCGCACAGATGCGGGGCTTCCCGAGCTGAGGGACCTATCGCTTGATTTCCTGACATCTGCCTCCATGGGTGTTGAGTGTGGATCCAAGTTATAGGAGATTTCTGGCAACATCAACCTTTCTCACATTCATCATGGTGTTGTCTCTCTAGTTGTGAGAAGAGTTTATTTACTTGATATTGAGATGTAATCCCAACTAAAGGCTGTACAGTCGTTTTTGTTCATCATTCAATGCTTCAAGTCAGCTTCATTTTCTGCGAGTTTGTGCCATTTGCATACATTGTTAGGTGCCATGGCGTTGAGTATGGCTCGCATTGAACAAAAGATCTGAACCCTGTTCCATCCTATGACATCCTCTTCCTGACAACCAGCAGTCACCATGTCAATCCACCTGGTCGAGGGTCTTCCTCTCCTTCACCGACCCTCCACTCTTCCCAGCATCATGTCCTTCTCCAAGGAACAGCCCCTCCTAGAAAAGTGCCCAAAGTATACGAGGCGAAGCCTCATCATCCTTGCCTCCAAAGAGCACTCTGGCTGCACCCTCTCCAAGACAGATCTGTTTGTTCTCCTGGATGTCCATGGAATGTTCAGTGCTCTTCTCCAACAGCACAGCTCAGAGGCATCAATTCTTCTTCTGTCATCCTCATTCACTGTCCAGCTCTCAGATGCATAGCATGTGATTGGAAAGACTCTGGCCTGAATCAGATGCACCTTAGTCCTCAAACTGACATCATTGCTCCTCAGTAATTTGGAGAGGCCCCTAAATGCAGATTTTCCCAGTACAATGCATCTCCTTATCTCCAGACTGTTAGTACTAAGGGTGTTAATTGTGGATCCAGCAAGATGAACTTGTTGGCAATTTCAATATCTTCTCCATCCACCATGATGTTGCCTATCAGTCCAGTGTTAAGAATCTTTGTTTCCTTGACAATGAGATGCAATCCATATCAGAGGCTACATTGCTTGATCTTCTACAAAAAGTGCTTCAAGTCCTCAAGGTTGTGTCATCTGCATAACACAGGTTATTGACGAGTCTCCCTCTGATCTTGATGCCACACTTTTCTTCGTAGAGTCCAGCTTTTGAGAATTTGCTCAGCACACAGCTTGAATAGGTGTGGAGAGCGAATACAAGCCTGATGTGCTCCCTTCCTAATTTTAAACAGGCAGTGCTCTGCTGCTCTGTCGCACACCGGAGACCTTCCTCTAATCCCGACATTCCACTCCTCATGTCGTCTAGTTGCCTGAATTATTTGCTTGGCGTACAGTCTGCAGAGATATGATGAAAGGCTCCAGCCCTGGCATGCACCTCTCCCGACTTGAAAGCACGCAGAATCTCCTTGTTCTGATGTACAGACAGGTTGTACATGAGCACAACTAAGTGTCCTGGGACTCCCACATGGCCAGGAGAGACTGGTCCTTGGAGAAGGACATCATACTCGGAAGGGAGGAGGGACAGTGCAGGAGAGGAAGACCCCAGACGAGACAGATGTGACTCAACAGCACACAACAGAACAACATCCTTATTTGTTATGATCCACAGAGCGGAATGCCTGAATCCCACTGGCCTGTCAGTTGTCCTGTGATGCAGTTAGCATGTCGCCGTGAATCTGCCACCAGTATTTCACACAGCAGCACAGTCACCTAGAATGACCAGGTTTCAGCGAACTTCTATGCTGAGATAGACCAGGAAGCAGGAACAGCACCCACTCCTGTAGTGACTCCCCAGTGACCACCTGGGGCGGCGAGGCAGACGTGTCCAAAGCTCCCTCTCATTGCTGTCAAATCAAAACCATGCCCCAGCTGACCCTCCAGTGTGTCCCAGGCCCTGGCTGACCCTCCGGCATGTCCCGTGTCCCGGCTGACCGTCCGGCGTGTCCCGGGCCCCGGCTGACCCTCCGGCGTGTCGCAGGCCCCGGCTGACCGTCCGGCGTGTCCCAGGCCCTGGCTGACCATCCAGCGTGTCCCGTGTCCCGGCTGACCCTCCGGCGTGTCCCGTGTCCTGGCTGACCGTCTGGCGTGACCGTCTGGTGTGTCCCATGTCCCGGCTGACCCTCCAGCGTGTCCCGTGTCCTGGCTGACCGTCCGGCATGTCCCGTGTCTGGGCTGACCCTCCAGCGTGTCCCAAGGCTGCACATCACAGGACAGCAGTGCGCCTCTCTCTCCCACAGAGCTGCCGGAGGATTTGAGCTGAGGCAGATGCCTGGCCTTCGGGTTCACAGCAACTTTCCTCCAGACTACACACCAGGGCCTTTCACTCCTCTGAAGTAAAGCAGTTTGGTCCTGCAAAAGCAGGGTGCAGCTCAAACAGACACCTGAAACCAGAAGTGGTTGTGGAGCTGAAAAATGGGTAGAAGCTGGAAAGTTGAGGGTGCACGACAGTCACAGCCTAGACTGCTCTGAAGAGCTTGGCTGTCAGACAAAGGGCTCAGCAGGCTGTGAGGAGAGCCAGAGAGGAAGTCTCCACTAGCAGACGCACAACAGCGCCTGTTTCTAGAAGTCTGGATGTTAAACAAGCTCCTGGTGGGTTCAGAAGAACAGGGTGGGCATGTGCTTGCAAGGTAGAGGAAGCGTGGTGCTTCTACGCCCCGGCAAGGTCTGAATTAGGTACAAATGTTTGCCAGAAAGAAGGCAGAACTTGTGAGTGACGAACTTGGATATCTGGTTGAGGAGATCTCTAAGCAAGATTGTAAAAGGGCCAAGTGCTTTCTCCTTGCTACTTACTTACAGAAAAATGCAAGAAATGGACTTAAAAAAATGAATTGTGCAAAGTGGAAACAGAACTTAAGGGCTCAGAACACTCTAGTGTGAAAATGAAGAAGGTGTCCTGGGATCCCTCCAAGGACACGACCACGCAATCTTTCTCTAAGGAGATCAATCCTATTACCGATGGATCCAACTGGCAATGGCAGCAGCAAACCCAGCAGCTCAGACTGAAGGGGTCAGATGGGGTGTGAAACGCAAGAGCACCCTCTGCCCGGGAGTCCTGCAGGCAGGAAGCAGCCCAGGAGCTGCCTCTGTCGCTTCCCAGGAAAAGAGCAGGATGACACTGGAGCAGCCGGGAGAAGAGCAGAGCTCCCAGGAGAAGAGCAGAGCTCCAGGGAGGAGCCTGGAAGCAGGGCTGTGCCGGCTTCAGAGGGTGGAGTCACGGCTTCCTGGGTCTCAGAGTCAGATCTCGACCGACTCAGCTCTGCTTCAGCTCAAGTCAGGAGGATGGGATCTTGGCCAAGGCTGAACGGAGTGGGACTTCCATATCCAAAGACTCCAGAAAGGGGTCACTACTCTGATGGACTAAGAACGGGGGCCCTCTTGAATTGGACAATTGAGAATTGCTATTCCAGTGGGCCTGGAAGACAGAGCTGAAACTCAGGGCTGAGGGAAACCCAGAATCCACAGGTTGTAGTCACACCCAGGGCCTTGGGGACGAAGCCACTGACCAGAGGACCTCAGAGAGAACTGTCTCCAAACTCAAGAGCTAACAGGACTTGTTCTGCTGGGCTTCTAACCTGTTTATTCCTTCCTGCCCTCAGTTCCTCCTACTTGTAGTAGAAACATCTGCCCTGTGCCTTCCCACTATTTGGAAACAGCTACTAGGAACGAAAACATCTGTCTTGTGGAAGGTGTGGCTAAAGTGCTCCCTGGAGGCACGGATGGCACAGGGCCATCGGGCATCCTCTGGGAGTACTGCTCAGAGACGCTATTCCTTGGACAGGTGGGGAGATGGTGAGGGAGAGGCAGACCCTCAGTCAGGTGGGCTGACACAGACAGCAGCAGTGGGCTCGCGCGTGTCAGAGATGTGTGGGTGACATAGGACAGAGTTCAGATCGTCGTTCAAAGGGTCGCTGTGACTTGTACTGACTTGATGGCATCTAACGACAGCTTGAAGTCTAGGTTTTAGAGATTCACAGATTAAGAGGATCTTGTCCCAGGATGGAATATGACAAAAGTCTCATTCCTATTTGATTTAGATGATTCAGAAGACAGTATTTTCTGTTTGTGGAGTTTACTTAAAACTGTTGGGATTATGTGATGGGGTGAATGTGTTATGCAGGTGGCAAGAACATGAATTTGGGAGGTCCAAAGGGTAAAATGCCCTGGATTAAATGGGGTCCTCCAGAAACATGTGTTGTAAATCCTACTCTTCATGCTTTAGGTTATAATCCCACTGGGAATGGAACACCTCTGTTTTGTTAATGAGTGGAGTTAGTGTGGAGTGCATTTAGAGTCCATCTATTTTAAGAAGAAAAAAAAAGAACTTAACAGTTTGAATCTACCAGATGCTCTGCTGGGGAAGGAGGGGCAGTCTTCTCCTGTACCAGTCAGATCCGATTTGATGGTTGTTGTTATATGCCATCAAGTCACTTGCGACTCATAGCGACCCTATGTACAACAGCCCTATAAACTCTGCTCTGTCCTGTGCTAATCACACCGTCTCCGATACATCCATCCCGATTACCCCAGTCACTGAATCAATCCATCTCATAGAGGGCCTTCCCCTCCTGCGCTGTCCCTCCACCCTCCCAAGCATGATAACCCTCTCCAAGAACAG